TATAGATCCTCATGCTCATAGATATTTCTTCTCTTTTGTTGGTACAAGATGTTAGACAAATATAGTAGTTCAATATCGCTCCCTCGGAATATGTTTGGTTGGAGACAGAGGAGAGGGGAGAGATGATTTTTTTATTATTTAAATTATAATATAACCTAATATTGCAATTTGATTAGTAAAAAATTTCATCCCTCTCCCTTGTTTCCCTCACACCATACATACATTAGGTTTCTTGTAACCTCATTAATATTTGATCTCATTAATGACTCTGGAAATTATGGAGAGGTGTACGGTATAAGTAAAAACGGACTCAGTGAAGAAATGGGGCATACACAATATTAGGAAATGGGAGATGGGCAAAGAAGAGAAGTTAATTTACAGTTTTACACACAGCATGAGCTAGGACTTTGCTCTATCAACATGGAAGGAGATTGCAAGAAGTAAACCACTCACTATGGACCTTTGGTAACCTCAACAATTGGGGAAGTCCATCTAATTTTCAATGGCCATCTGTATTTGAGGTTGGTCCTCGCATACTTTCATCTTGAAATAGTTACTAGGGCCTATCTTTTATCCCTTTCGACCTGGTTCCAGTCATTCTGACCCTGATTTATGTTCTCACTCCATGATGGATCCACTGTAGGTAGTTGATATTCATCAGGTTTCAGTGCCAGGGCAAAATCAGGGAGTGTTGGGGCTGTCTCCATTATTCTGAAGTAAAATGTGACCCATACCCAGGTTACCATCGTCATCGAACTTTGTGTTTAGCCAAAGATATAAATGAAAATATAGAAGTTAGAAACTGTATTTAAATTTATTGAAGTAACACTTACTTTTCATGGGAGTACAGATCACGGTTTATCCGCACCTTGCTAGACGTATCTTTGGGAATTTTTTCGGAGAGATATTTCATCGTCCCCCATAGTGTTGGATTTCTGCAACAACATCAAGAACATTAGTAGTTATATCCATATAGAAAATGTCTGAAGAACAAAGTCAACCTTAAAGGAAACTTGGAAACTGCATGTCCCAAAAGTATAGCGATAGCAATTTGCATTAATTCAGCATTTCCAACAGGTTTCTAAAAGCAAATGTAGAACCAATACCTAACAGCATAAGCATACATGTGTATTTAAGGGCAGGATTACATATTCAAGTATAAGACTGAAGCACTGAAAAGGGTGGTTACAAGATATCAGTTGTTTGTAATTTTGCATTTATGCATATGTACAAAAATGCTATGGTATATCACGCCCATGAAAATTTTTACAATTCTAGGGTTACAGATTAATAAATGGTATCTCCTTCAGGCACAACAGGTTCATGTGTACTTGAGGAAAATCTTTATAGCAGGTCCATAGCAGTGGTTGGCTGAAGTTGCATGAAAGAAATTTCCAAGTGGATGTGACTTATAGTTCTATTTGAATTTGAAGGGAGGGCAGTACAGTACTTGTGTTATCTCAACCAAAGCACCACTAAGTAATGAGATTATAAGTTTTAACAATAATCCAAGATTTCCTATATCTTCTTTTTTCCAGCCATGAGAGGAGAGGCCAGTAGTGCCTCGATAAAAACATTTGACTGTGAACAGAAGATGAAAAGAATCTACTGGAGTAGTTTTTCACTAGCCAAACCTAACGAGGGCTAAAAAAGCTGGGTTAGCAGTATGGATTCCAGGTCCAGGGCTTAAAGTGGGCAATGATGAGGAATTGAGGATAAGAAATCTTTCCCAAAAAGGAGGCATCTATGGACGAGCATGGTAGAGTTAGCAAGGTCCCTTTCCTCAGTCTTTCCCATTCCCCACTCCTACAGGGCTATGCAAGTCTGGCTGCTATAGTCTAAAAAGACAGATATGATTCAGAAAGGAACACTAATCCACAGAAATTAGACAATATTCTTCTGCAGCATGTAGAGAAGCTATGGCCATGCCATACCTTGAAAAAGGATGGGCAGCATTAAAAGCCTCACATGCGTTTTTACTTTCTTTGAAATATTCATCTGCAGCTTGTAGAGCAGCTACAGCCATACCATGGGATTTCTCTGTGTTTCCTTCATCCATGATCAAACCGTGGTAATAATATGCTGCTGCCTGATATAAATAAAGAAAAAGGAAACCAACATAATTGAACCAATTAGCTGTTAGTGTGAAATGAAGCTTCAAACTAGTTGAAATGCTAGCACAATACCTTAGAACCGGAACTCAATAACATTTCAAATCCAACTAACAGAATATAATTTTCAATTCAATAACATGAAAACATTAATTGTACTTTGAAAAATAAAAGGTTCCCCTTTACTGGGGAACCAGATACAGATCCAGTGGCAGTGGGGCCACTGCTTCCACTGCATCCTGAAAAATTCTGAGAATATAAAGAGGAATATCTAATAGTAGTCCTTGAATTCAAACAAAATTCCTTCGTCCTTATGATCAGATTTTTCTTACATCAATTCTACAGCCAAACCAACTAGGTTAGACTATGTTTCATAACATATAAAAAAGTTTGTTCTCAGATTTCCATAAAAGAATTAACCTTAACCTTAAGTTTTTGGGAATTGCAGCACCCAGAAAAAATAAGCAAAAACTCTTACACTTTAACCCCAACTTTACCAATGCCATAGAGACCAACAGGTCTAAATAAACCTTAACTGTTATCAAATCATGGTTGCTGACATATATTTATACAAGATTATTATGTATCTGTAATTAAGATATTTTGGCTGCACAACAATTAAGATTAAAGTGGCATAGTTTTGCCTATTCGCAAATACAAAATAGAGAATCTAATTTAATCCACTGCATCGCCTCTCCCTTGACTGTAACTGTAGATCAAATACATATAATTATCCACATGCTACCATTACAGGTAAGAGTAATTTTCAAGTTTGCCTGAAAGATACTAGCGATTGAAGTTCCATTCAACAAGAGAAGTGAAAAAAGAGCATGACTTACCTTTGCTTCAACATATTTCCACTTTACAAAGAGATGATGCTTTTCACCCCAGCCATTTGCTAATGGAAGATTCATTATGTTATCTTGTGCCTGTTAAGCAAACAGAAAAGAGCAAAAATGTTTATTCATGATCACTAACAGCACTGTATTTGAAAAGGAGATGATACTGAAATTTCATGACATAAAATGAATAATTTCTAAGCAAAATGGTCAAAAGTCAGATATACGATGGAAGAAATTTTCATGTTTAGCGGCCTAGAGTTCTCGTCACTTGAAAGCATATTGAGTTATCAAATTAAGAGTTATGCTATCCCAAGTAAATGAATACAATTTCTCAAATATGATTCCACTGTAAACTAAATGAAAAATGAAAAAAAAAAAAAATGAAGCTATGATTACTAGTATTAGTAGCTAATATGACTTATATGAACATTACAGTTGAATGGCCTGTTTATGCCCAGTGTATTTGTACATACCCCTTTGGGGAGTTTTGAATAAAAGCACTTGCCAAATTCCAAAAGAAATTGAAAAATGAAGACAGAACAAAAGACAAATAGCAAAGCAAAGATATCCACTAAGTAAGATTAGGCAGAAGATCCTAACATATTATTTACCAAAGCAGCTTGTGAATGATATTTGCATCCAACATGCAAATCACTTCAAAGGCACCATTTTTTGCCCTAGAGGTATCAGTGGCAGATTAAAGACTAAATGCACTGCAGCTAAACAATGTAAGCCATTTTTACTAGTCCATTTCTTTTTCTTTCCTCTTCTTTTTTTTTTTTTTTTTTTGTGATGAAAAGTCTGCTATTTTCTAGGGAGTATTCGGTAAGAGGTTATGGCTCCAGAATTCCCAACGATAGAATCATCCAGTTAGCTGAACCATTGATAATCATGTCAGTGACAAAAGGAATGATCTCAATCTTACACAAAAGGATGGGATTATAAGATCATAATGTCATGGAAATCTCTAAACCTCACTATTCAATATTACTTGATTATATGAAAGCAACATGCACCTCTTTAGAGATATAGTTCCTTTTATAAGTTTACTGATCAATTCTCCTTTTGCAAAAGAAAAACTTAATCCTCATGCACAATGAGTTTTAAATAATCACTTTCAAAACCAAAAAGATATTATTTAACCACAAGTTTATGCATAAGGTTGTTATTTAAAAATATATATATCTCATTTATTAAATAAAGAAAAAATGTTGCATCTTAAAAATAAGTTAATTTATATATTCTATACCTAGTAACATCTTTCTATCATCTAAATATTGAAGGCAATGTCCCAAGATTAGCATTGAAAACCAAACCCAAAGAGAAAAGGTGCAAATAAGGATGCCAACTCTTCAGTTTTTTCTATTTAAGGATGTTAACTTTGCTAGTTTCTAAATAAGGATGTCAATTTTCAACTTTTTCTATTTAAGGATGTTAACTTTTTTCTAAAAGATTCGTTCGTTTGTCACATCAACATCACCATCCAATCAAATCCTTAAATAGAAAAAGTTGAAAGTTAACATCCTTAAATAGAAAAAGTTGAAAGTTGGCATCCTTAGTTAAAAACTAGCAAAGTTAACATCTTTAAATAAAAGTGCAAAGTTGACATCCTTATTTGCACCTTCTCTTCCCAAAGTTACTTGCATAGATTAAAAAGGATTGGATTATAAATGGAAAGATTAGTGTTACTACCCAAAATGAGGGACATAACAAAAATATATTTTAGATAAGAAGGGGTTCTTAGTCTTGCAGTATTGTGCATCAGGAAGGAACAGCTGGATGTCCCAAAATTTTAATTGCAATTACTTATCTCATAACTGATATATATTACGAGTTGTACAAAAAGAAGGTGTATGCTAAAGTTAATAATGTTATGCACAAGCCAAAGAAAATTTGCAAAGCAGAGACAAGAATGGGAGGGTACCAAATGAATAGAAAATCCAAGATTTCAAAACAAAAAACAAACTTGGTTTGTTGGAGCTGAAGAAATGATAAACACTTGTTGCACTTGCATCCATACCTGCTGCCAGGACTTTACCATTTCACATGCAAGCCTTCTCTTAACAGCAAGAGTAGCTTTTGTACTCTCAATTGCTATTCCCAATTGGATATCAACACCCTACACCAGACAACTGGAGAATCTTTAGACCAAGACAAAAATGTGAAAAAGGCACCTGCAGGTTGCATATACTCAAATCTATTTTTTATCATCTTTAGATCCCATGGGTCTAACTGCAGAGGCTCCAAAGGGTTTTTGGTGTGCCTTCAATATTGTTAAACACTTCACAGAAAAGGATTTACGAGATTCCAATTTTATCTTGGGTAAATATTGAACTACATGAGAAGTTTAAACAGTACCGTCTAAAAGATAACTATATATTTAAGTTTTAGCATTAAACAAGATACAGACGTCTATTTTTTCTCAGAGATTTAGAAACAAGTTTTTAAAATCACAACTTACACATTGCATATATCGTATTTATACTGTTAAGGCAAGTTTAGTTTCAAATGGAACTGGGAAAATAAAAAGTACAGATCTTGCACTTCATGCATAATTCATTACACTGTAAATTTCAATGTGGTGAAACAGAAAAACAGAAACAATGACCACGTGCATTTACACCAACTGTTTAAGGTAATTCATTAATTGCCATACTATAAAGCCAGCTACATGTGACAATTTAATGTTTAACATAAACTTAGAAACGATAAATTGGTTCTCTGGTCAAGATACTATAGTTACAAAAATGGCAATTTCAATCCAGTCAGGTATCTGTATCAGACAGTCCCATTTGCATAGATGCTGGACAAGCAACTAATAATTCATACCTATATATGCATCCAGAGTGGAAGAAAGTACCTGCCCTAGTGCCTGTAAGCAAAGTGCTCGAAGAACCCCTTCAGCTAGGTCTACTGGTAAATTTCTCCTACAATCAGAGCAGAGGTTCACATGTTAAAGACAAACATAAAAGCCTAATATGATGGTAAAAATATTAAGTTAATTGACTGCAAATAAATCATCCTTATAAACCTGAGTTCAGCAGGCAACTGGAGGAGAACCTGTCGGACAGCACAGTCCAAATATCCCGCTGCCTTCAAGAAAATATCAATAGAGGCTCGCCTGCTTTCTGACATAAAATTAATGAAAATGACACTTGTTGGGGCAGCAGAAACAAACATGCTAAGGAAAGCAGAAATGTAAAATAAACAGGCAGCCTGCAAGTTTAATTTCTTTAGGATATCAAAAAAGCAACTAGCACACCCATCATGATACATCTATAGGTCACTATCTTGAAAAAAGAGAGAATGGGTATGGTAGAACGACAGCACAACTTAGATTCACTTAAGGTTCAAAAAACTTGGCAGTCAGAAACTTCCAGAAAGGTGTTATCCAATAAAATAAAAAATGTCAACAGCAAGGGGAGATTTAACTTTGTGTTTAATTGACTTAGGGCCTTAATTGCTCCTGCTGTGAAAATTGTGCATATGTACTCAACACAAGGCTTGCATCCAACCTAAAACCAATCGGCTATAGTGGGAGTAGCTTTCCTTGTATTTAACCCACAAGTTTTCACACTCAACACGCCCTAGATGTTTGTGTAAACATCCAGCTGGGAATTTGGATTTTAATGAAGTTTTACCAGTTCCCAAAAAATAGTTTAAAAAAAATTTCAAAACATCAACTCTTCCCCATGGTCAGTTATAAGCAGATTAAAAAGCCATGCCATTAATGTTTTTTTTTTTTTTTTGTGGGGGGCTGAATATACCATAGCTGTCATAGTCACTAAATCTGCCTTGGAAGTTATTATGTAAGCAGATTGGTACTAGTTACTCTAAGAAACTAAGACTAAGGAAACACGAAAACATAAAATTTAAACGAGATTAAAGACCATAATATATAATTTCAATTTTTAACATGACAGGCGTGACACAATAAAAAAAGAAAGAAATAAAAGAAAAAAACAAGAGAAACCTGTTTCAATCAGAATAATCCTTCTCAAGTAAAAACTTGCCTTCTGATACTTTTGGTTGATAACCGTCAGTAGAAGTCATAGGAAGAAGCAATAAATTTGCTTGTGATAATGATAACATCGCCATCAAATGCAAAACAGATAAAACCTCATACCAAGCATTATACATGGTGGTTTCCTGCAAAAAAATAGTTCAGACCAAATCCAGCAGTTGGCAAGGCAAAGGATCAAATGACACGCAAAAATTAAATAAAAGTATAAAAAGAAATGTTATTCAATAGCTTAGTCCCAAAATCCCACCTCTGCCTCATCCTCCTGGTTTACCCAAACAAACTGCACTTTGTATTGCAGATGACTCCCTAAATTATAACACAGCAAAACAGCATTAGACTTTATTAAATAGCACAATCATGCAATTTAAATAGAGCAGCAATAAACTACAAGATTTACCATCTTTAACTAATCCCAAAAGAACAGGCAAGTAATCTTCAAGAGCCTGATGAAGATCAGCCAATGTGGAACCTCCTGTTGACAATAATTCAATTTAATATATCAGTTAGATCATTTACTGCTCTTTGTTAAAAACACATCAGATTCTCCTCCTACGAACCATGTTGCGTAGCACTTCTTCTCCTTGTTCTTGTAATAGTGGGTGCTTCTTGCCCTGCCATAACAACTATACGAGTTCTCAAAGCATTCAGGCGTTCAACTAAAGTCTTTGGCAACTGATCACCTAGTGACTGGGAAAAATCGACAGGTTTGGGAATTCGTAAACCCGGTACATAAACAGAAACTGCCCCAATATTTCCTGGCTTCCTCCTGTTTCCACCAGAATCCTTTGGTGTTGATACAATGCATCCCATATCCTGAGAGTTGCTTTTTCTCCTATTCCAGGAAAAAAAATGTTGGTTGTATTTTTATGTATTTAATATTTCCTGCATAAAGTTGGAGATTTCAGAAGCAGGTTATGACTAACAGTACATGAGATGGGTTAGTAAACGATTGACATCTGAAGTTCATGGAACAAAGATAATAAACAAGGGGACCAAGATGATTAGGACGAAACAAACAAACCAGAGAAGTAATAACGTCCAACCAACAAAAGCAGGATTAGTAGGTTACTCACGAGCAGTATGGTAGGACTCTAACTAGAACCCTCTTAAAGTTTCTAAAATGCCTTTTTTTTCAATAAATAATTTCCATGAAATATAAAGATGAACCAGAACAAGAAGAATAAAAAAGTAACGTTACTGCTGACCAAAAAGAGCAACGGATGGATAGACTCACCTTGTGTCTCTTCTGACCAATAGGTATAGGTTAATTAATGGGTCAAAGCTGTAGTAATTTCTGCACCCAAAAGAAATTCATAATGGAGATGCAGGCAAAATAAGTTAATAAAAGCAACCAAATCACATGCAACTCATGAGCTTTGATAATTTACTTTCAATATCATTACTTCTCATTCTCAGAAAAAATGTGGAGGGAGGAAGCCGTATGCTTTATCATCACACATCAAAAATGTGAAAGTGAATGAATTCGAATTGATTAAAAAAAAAAAAAATTTGCAGCACTCAAATAACTTGAACAAAACGGTAAGTAAGTTGTAGATTGGGAGAAGCTATTATGGCTTTAGAATAACCGCAAAGAAGTAGCAGACGCAGCAGTTTAAGAAAGATTGCAAGTAAAGCATCCCAAAATGGGTCTAAATAAAAAAGAGTAACCTCCATAACAAAGCAAAGTTACGCTCTTTTCTCTTTGAATATCAAATTGATCTTAAGCAGAAAGTAAAACCCAGGAAAAAGATCCCCAGTTGTGGAAAATGGAAAGAAAAACCAAAAAATTGGAAAGAAAAAATTTTTGCAATTTGAACAAAGAACCATTGTGCTTTTTGTTTTTTGCCGACAGACTTGACACTTGGAGAAATTTTTTCCTTTTCAATTGCTGGACCAAAAATACAGAGCGAGCATGAGAATCAAAAAGGGAAATCTTTAAGTTCCCTTTTCTCAGCAACCAAACAGAAGCTAAACAAGACAGCAGAAATCAATCAAAACCGATTCCGTATCAGAAAGAAGCCGAAAATTAAGAATGAAAAATCCTTACCATGAAAGCCTCTGTGTGTTCTGTGTTAGGATTGTTCAGACTTCAGAGTCAGAGTGTTAAGTGAAACTGAATCAAAACCCTAGAAAAAGAATCAAATTCACAGCCCGGTTTACAATTGGCAGACAAGAAGAGAGAGTACGTAGAAACGTAGAGCGTTCGACTTCAACAAACCAAGTGGAAATATTGAAACAGTTTGACTAATGAAAAGAAAATGGGAAGTCGGCGTTTCATTATTATTTAAGAATGGCAGGATGATTGAGAAAGCTTAAAATGCAAGCACATATTTTCTTGAAAATTTAAAATTTTGTCGGAAAAAAATTTTAATTAATTTTTAAAATAATCCTTAAGTAAATTTTTTCAAAAATAAAAAATTAATGGGTATCAATCATTATTATAAAAAATTAAGTCTATAAAAATATTTAAAATTACGTCATTTTAATAAAATAATATGAGTAAAAATAAAAACAACTTTATTTTTAAGTTAAAAATAAGGATATTTTAGTTTTTTTAAATAAATTTTTATCAAAATAACATAATTTTAAGATATTTTTTCATTTATTTTTTTACAATACAAACTAATACCCACTTTTTCTAAAATTTATTAACTTTTTCAAAATTTATTAAAAAGTCACTTTAAAAATTAATTTTGAATTAATCTCTAAAAAATTTGTAAATTTGTAAAATAAAATTTTACTTTTAAATAATTTATTTTTTTTAATTTAGCTAAACACCACCTTTGTCAAAATATATATTTAACCTCAACTTTCAGCTATTATTGAAATGAATTTCAATATAAAAATTTGCTTAAAATTGTTAAATTAACAAGAGTATAATCCATATAGAAAAGAAAAAAATGAAATGATCATATATGCTTATTTCATCTATTAAATTTTGACTATATTATTATTATTATTGGCATTAGTATTATTTTACTTTCAACTTGACTAATTTAATTCAACAATTAATGGAAAAAGTTGGCTAACCATAATTTTTTGGGACATAAAATGTAAAACAACTCCTGTTTTACAAAAGGTAAGGTTTAACTTTAATGGCAAGAAAATACTTCGAGATATACAAAATAGACAATTAACGTCCTAACATTATGTTAAGATAAAAATATAAATTCCTGAAATAATATCTGTGGCAAATAAAATTTTTGAACATTTAAAGAAAGAAAGGTAAATGTGATCTTTTTTT